AATCGCGAAGAGGTACAGAGGCCTAACTGAAGAAGCTACAAAACTAAATAAGCGACGAAAAATTCGGATAATCGAATTGTTAGAAATGAATTCGTTTAATACTTTAACAATTCATAGGATTTAGAAATGTTTTCTTACCTTTCGATAAACATGTCTTATGATATAAAGAAATATCGAAGCTGTATTCCAAAATTCCAGATAGCTGGTCGCCATATTGAAAAGTAAAAAAATGATGTCATTGTGCCACCAAAAGTCAGTGGTAACTTCCAAATATGGTAATAAAAGGTCAAAGGTGAACAATTGATTATCCATATACCGGGCCTAATGAAAAGTAGTGTAAAATTTTGTCAGGTGATGGGGCCAGCAAGGTCAAGCCCAGGTTAAGTCAATAGGAAAATTATACAGATTCCCAAGGTCATTGGAGTCTTTTTTTTTTTTTTTTTTTTTCAAGAATGCCCTGTCTAAGTTTTGTGTGGTTATTTCAAGTTAAAAAAATCACACATTACATTAATATTTGTCTGATTTCATACATTAACTTTGGAATTTGCAAATATCTTAGAAATAGTAAAAAGAAATTATTTACATCAATGTTTTTATGTGTGATCAATTTTGATAATCGCGTCTATTTATATACTCTCTGTTATCAAGCCTTTTTATTCCGATGAAAGAACGAAGATAGGAATGTTGTCTTAACACTTTGAAAATAAATCAAAAAGGAATTTTACTGCTGCTTTTACTAATATCCATGATTTATGTGTGTGTTTGTTTGAGTGGTATTGGGTTCATTCTACTATTTGACTGTCGAGCTGAGCAGACGTATTAGAAGCTAAAAGAAGAAAAAGGCCCCAAGAAAACAGCTGGCCACCTAGGCTGCCCGAAAGAGCGCCCCAGCTACCGGCGATGTAAAGAAACCTCACAGATACCGAATTGTTGATCCGAAAACTTCCCTTCCAACGATTGGTGAGAGAAATCGCTCAAAACTTCAAGACTGATCTTCGATTCCAGAGCTCAGCTGCCATGGCTCTCCAAGAAGCCAGTGAGGCTTATTTGGTCGGTCTTTTCGAAGATACCAACTTGTGTGCCATCCACACCAAGAGAGTGACCATTATGCCCAAGGACATTCAATTGGCCCGAAGAAGTGCTTAAGTGCTTAAAAGTGCTTAAAAAGTGCAGTTCTTGCAATAAACAAAAAAAACGGCCCTTTTCAGGGCCATCCAAAATCTCAAAAAAGAGTGAAACAAAGTACAAAATCCCCTCCTGTCCGTCTTTCTTGCCATTTCCCCTGATTTCGCTTCAAAATATAACGGCTTGTAGTAAAAAGCTGACGAAAAAGCCCTGGTCTAGTCTAAACCTTGAGTGTAAAAAGCACACCATTGACCACGTTTATATTAATTGATTCTCCTATATTGAGGTATGGAATGAGTAAAATGAATGAATGAATGAATGAATGAATGATTGAATGATTGAATGATTGAATGAATGAATGAAACCTAGCCCTAACTTAACCGTAAAGCCATGTGCAAAATACACCGACCGACCGTCTATGTTGATTACCGCCAATGCCCGGATTATTACAGGTCTAATTAATTTACTTAGAAACAATAGGCGAGCATATGGGATCACAATACGGTGGGGTGGGGTTTAATTTTTGAGTAGATCTACTCAAACCCTGACAGAATGTTTTATAAAGTGTTGTGTTGTTAAAATTTCGTACATTTGTCAAAGGATTTTGATATGGAAAGTATGTATGTGTCCAAGTTTAAAGGTAAGAGACGAAACGCGATTTTCTTCATTTCTCAGTTTTTCCTAATTTCTTTCACTTTATTCACTCTTTTTCACGCCAATCTCAATACAGAACGTTAATGAACTTTAAACCATACATTTTCACCGTGGTGTATTTTGAGCGCCAATGCCCTCTATGATCTGAAAATCATAAATTACACAGAATAAGGGTCAAATTTATTACGTCACATTTACTTCGCACATAATTCAGCCTGTTTCTACTTCAAAACCCACAGTACTTCTTAAATTAATGACAATTGAAGAAATAAAAATAACATGGAACTAAAATGTTTTCAAGAATGAATCTTAAAGACCATATATCCATTAGGTAGTGTATTA